TCATTTTAATGAGGGGTTCTCAGACGACTCAGAACATCCCTGGAGATGAATACATTCCGACACAATAGCTCTGAGAGGTGTGAACTGACTCATTCATCTCAGTGGGCGTTCTCTTCCTCCCTTTCCCTAAATCCATCCCAGCTCCTGTTGTGGAATACCAATTTTAAGACAATCTTGCTATGCATGTGGGTTTTAGAGCAACTTGAATGCTAAAATCAGCTTCTTATTCAGGGGGCCATATCTGAGGATCTCATTGTCCAAGTTACTCCAAACTGGCAGCAAGAAGTATATGCCACTACTGTTGCGGCATATACTACTGAAGATATTCTCACTATGTATGCAGATGTTAGAGCGATTTGAAAGTTTTTAAAAATCATAATATGGGGGTGGCTGTATATCAGGAACCCCTTCACCAAATGACCCAAAATTTGTATTACAAACACTATCCCATCCCCTGTCATGACATGCCAGTTTTCAAGACAATATCTTTTGTGAATGTGGATTTTAGATCATTTTTTAAGTTAAAAGAAGCTTATAACATGGGAGTGGAGGAGTTGTATATCGGTAAGCCCTTGACCAAATAACTCCAGATATGCACTGCAGACTCTACCCTAGCCCCTTTTGTAGCATACCAGTTTTCAAGATATGCATGTTATTGTCTGTGCACGTTGATTATTCACATCTGCTCCTTATTGGAGGACTGTATCTGTGGAAGTCCTTGAGCAAATTATCTCAATTTTCACCACTACCTCTACCCAGGACCCTAATATGACACAGCAATATTATGGTGAGATGGTAGTGGCACCACAGGTAAGCTTGCATCAGGATTTCCATTTTAATAGGGGTTAAAAAAGGTGTACAGAACTTCTGTCTTTTCAGCTGTTGTATCATTTTTAATTGTTTTTTGTAGTTCACCTTTACATTTTTTAATAGCAGCTTGTGTGGGAGAGGAGGAGAATCTCATTTGAGGTTTGCTATGACTGTTCTAAAAAGGGCTGTATGACTAAAAGTTTCTAATAATAATAACAATAATACTTAGCTTGTATATAGATCTCAAAGCGCTTTACAGAGGATAGGGAAGTAAAATTGATTTGGATTGGTGATGTGAAAAGTCATGACAGAAAGACACTATGTAAAAATAGCTAAACTTGTATAAATTTTAATTTCTTAAATGATTTATTTTCTTTCTGTCTGGGAAATAAATCCCTTCAGGGTTTCATCATTTTAAGTTCCATTCAATGACGGGGCAGAGCTGAAGGGGTGTGGTGGGGGTGTTGTTATGCTGCAAGATGTTAATGGCTGCCATCAAGTGGGTCTTTCCTTTATAGACCATATCCGACCTGGTTAAAACTGATGGTTGTGCTAAACACTCTTTTTCAGACTAAATGGAAACAGCAATTAAGTCCCCTTTGCATGGTTGTGGCTGGAACAATAGAAGCCACAGATGAGAAGCTAAACTGTGTGGTTTGAGAGATTCCATCACTGTACATGCAGGGGCTAGCGGATTGTTTTTGGCAACCTGTATGTGTGTGTGATATCATGTGTTTAGCTGTGACACTCTGAGTAAGTTTCCCAGACCTGAAGAAGAGCCTGTAAGCTCAAAAGCTGGTTTCTCTCTCACCAACAGAAGTTGGTTTAATGAAAGGCATTACCTCACCCACCTTGTCTCTGAGTGTGGAGGAGGCAGAAAGCCAAAAGAGCAAGCAGGGAGTGAGAGAGGCAGTTACTGAGTGTGGCCTTGAGAGAGAGCAGTGCAACAGAGCTCTTTGGGGGGCATGGAACTTGCATGAGGCTTGGGAACAGTGAACAAAACTGCCTGCTGTTGGTTGTTCCTGCTGCGTTCAGGGAAACAGGACTTTGTTACATTCTCCGTAAATAAACAGAATTGCACCAAAAAGTATACCTGACTTGTATTATTAATGTCTCCTCTTAAGAGAAACAAGGCCACAAGTTTTGGCCAACTGGTTGGGCCAAAGGGGCAACAGCAGTCATTTGATTTTTGAGTGTCTGATGAATCCTTCAGATCCCTTTTCCAAGGAACTACAATACTTTGTGGGGTGAACTTGGATTGGTGTGAACTCTTGGTTTATGTAGATTGGATGAATTATTGTAAAAAGTTGAAATTTGTTTTCAATGTTTATTTTTCATGATAAACATAAGTTACTGTTTTGACTGATGACAATATCCTGGAACTACTTTAGTCCACCTTATGACATTTCTTAAAATAGGGCTATTATGAATGCATTTCCTGATGCTCAGAGGATAGAGAGTCATTCATAAATTCCAGACAGGCAATCCAGAAATTTCAGCCCACACACAAGAAACCATTTCTCAAGAAACTATTCTGTCCCAATAATTACCTTAAAATATAAAGCATAGAGCAAACTTTCTGCTATTTGCCACAGCTTCTAAGGACTACCACAAAACAAAACAAAAAAGAAAACATTTCTTCAAAAATCGAAAACTTACTTGCATGTTTAGAAAAAGAACTTGTAAGAATTATAACCATACCAATAATAGTTGTTATATAATTTTTTCACAAAATAGCTCTCAAAGTGCTTTACAAAGGAAGGCAAGTGTCATTAGCCCCTTCATACAGATGGGGAAACTGAGGCAGAGAGGTAAAGTTACTTGTTCAAGGTCACATAGCAGGTCAGTGGCAGAACCAGGAACAGAGCCTAGATCTCCTGATCTCAGACCAGTGCATTATCCACTGAACAACAGTGCCTCCCTTCAATTTCTGAAGCTATTATATTTTGGAGAAAAACCACTGTCCCAAACTGATTTCACCACTAGAATAAACTATTTTAGTTAGCTGAATTAAAAAAAATATTCCCAATTCATCAGTCCTGCCAACCTTTGTTTTTTCCTCCTAATGCAACTAAAATTTTCATTAGTCAGTATCAGGATTAATCCATATCCTCTCTGTCGATCTTAACTTTGGGAATATGATCGGTCTTTTTAAAAACAAACCAAACAAACAACTTCTAACCATTTCTGCCTGATCAGGTGAAAGTTGTGAAATATAAAGGAATTTATAAAAAATTCTTAAAGCATGCTTTTTTTTTTTTTTAAGTAAATATATCATGTTAGGCTCCCCTCCAAAGATATTTCTCCCCCCTCTCTGAGTGTCATGTTATGTCCATTAATTTCAGTGTATTGTATAATGATGAACACTTGACTATTGATCAAATTGTGTTCCATCTTCAATTATTTAATTTAACTAATCATTGGCCACATATACATACAGGCTATTTGCTATACTTTGGGTCTGGTCCTGCAGTCCTTTCTCAGACATAATACCCATTGACGTTCATGAGTATTTTGCCTGGGTAAGGACTGCAGTACTGGGACCTTTATCTGTATTCCAGGACACTGAACGCTTTTCATTCCAAACCAGTTGCTGCATGTGTGGCTTTCTTGTCTTCAGTAAGTATGTAATTTTCAAAAAAAGATTAATATATTTCTGCCATGTTCATCCACTGCCAGTTGAAGATATTTTTTGCTTTTCTCGTTCACCCATCCTTCCAGTTTCTGAGTATTTTTAAGGGAAATATTAAACATTCTGGTACTTCCACTGACTTGCTATGTAGTCTTATGCAAATCACTTAACTGTCCTGTGCCTCGTTTTCCCCTTCTATAAAATGGAGATGATGATGCTTAATCACCTTTGGAAAATGCTTTCAGATCCTTGGAGAAAAAAATGCTATTGTATTAATTATTATTATTCATTAAATTATCCAACCTTTTAAAAGTACATTGCACAAAGCACTGCATCCTCGCTCAGACAGTACTTCCATAGAAATATCTTTCTTTGGCCCTGAACTTTCAAGTTGTTCTGCATGTACCTTTGTAATGGCCAGGAGATCCCCTGAAGTCAATTAGCTGGGTACATGGGTGCAGGAAACAACTTGATTTGAGGCATATATTTTTTGTGACTGAGGACTAGAGCTGGTCTGAGATGCCAATTCACAGAAGTGATATGTTTTGCTACTTCTAGTCAACATCCACAGCTCTGCATCAGGATTTAGGGAGCCCAGGGACAGGGAGCCTGGAAGCCGTAGGCTCCCTGGTCCTAGGGTAAGCCCCATGGTGGCCAGACCCTGAAACTGCAGATCCTTGGAACCCCAGCAGCGGCTCCGTGAAACTGATAGTCTTGTCTTGTCACCACTGCTGATCACAGACAAGACTGTCAGTTTCATATTTTGTTTTTGGAAACGCCATGATCCAGTGTTTCTGCAAATGAAACGTTCAGTTTGCCAAGAATTTTTAGCATAATTTGGTTTCATTGCAAGGAGGAAAGAACCCAGGTTATGCAAATCTGAAATTTTGAAACTTGAGTTGGCTTGGCTCATAGATTCCCAGGGCAGAAGGGACCATTGTGATCCTCCATCCTGACCACCTACATAGCATAGGCCACGCAACGTCTCCCTAATAATTCCTCAGCGGGTAGAAGGAACATTTCTGTTTACACCGCAGGGTAAGAAGATGGCCCACTGCATTTCATTTAATTAAGTAGAAGTTGGAGTCCAATTTGATTCTTAGTCCAGCCTTTCGCCAAGCAACCAGTACATCCCTGCTGTGAGCCACTGGCTAGGGGCTGGCGGGCAGCGCTCTGGGGAGCCGAGGCAGAGGTGCCTAGGGTGGGGGGGGGGGCTGCCCCTCTGCCCGCCCGTGCAGCAGGGCTCGGGGAGGTATGAGGGGCAGGGGCTCGGCGCTCTCTGCCGCATCACTCCGCCGCTGCTGCGTTTGCACGGAAGAAGCACGCGCCCCACCCGCCTCGTCAGCCAGCCCCAGGGACAACTGTCTCGGCCGCGCGCGCGCTCTTCCCCACCTCTGCGCCTCAGACCCTCTTGCCTCTTCCCGGTGCGCGCGCGCGCGCGCGCGGCGACAGTTGCAGGCCTGTGTGAAGCGGGGGCGGGGCTCGCGCCGCAACACCGCCAGGCGAATGAGGGAGGGTGGATGCGGGCGCGCGCGCGCCGGGAACGGGGAAGAGCGGGGAGGAGCAGGCGCGCGCGCGCCAGCGATGGAGGGTGGGTAGAGGGGGACGGAGTCGCGCGCGCGCCCAGTCAGCAGCAACAGCCCTCAGCAGCCGAGCGGGCAGGCGGGAGCCAGGCGAGCTGGTGCTGCGGTGGAAACTGCAGCTAGGACCCGTGGGGCGGGGGTGCCGCGCCCCTCCCCCACACCCCGGACAGCGCCGGAGTCCCCGCCGCCCCCTCCCGGGGGCAGTATGAGGGCGGCGGCGCGGCTGTGATCCCCGCCGCAGCGGGGCAGCCCCGCCCCCGGCTCCTTCGCAGCGGCCGCCCCAGTCTCCGTTAGAGCGGTACCCCGGGAGCTATGAGCCATGAAGCCTCCTGGCAGCAGCGCCCGGCGGCAGCCCCTCTCCGGCCGCAGCCTCCCCGAAGCCGCCTCCTGCCTGAGGCTCCGGCCGCCGAGCCGCCTGCACCTGCTGCTGGGGCTGCTGCTCCTCTCCGGCCCCGCCTGGCCCCGGCCCTGGGGGGCTGCTGCGGCCACCGGTGGGTAGAGAGCTGCCCTTGGCGCCGGGGACACGGGTGTGTGTGTGTGTGTGTGTGTAAGAGAGCTGGCCATTTGTGTGTGTGAGAGACAGGTGTGTGGGTGTGCAAGAGAGATCTGTCCATCCGTCCATCCATCCATTTCACCCACCCCAATAATCTTCCGTGCCTGTCCGTTTTCTGCCTTTAATAGTAATTGTCCTATCTCCAGATATGGGGTGTGTATCCATATTTGTTCATTTTAAAAAGACCACACAGTAATGGGTTAAAACCCTCTTTAAATCCTGTTTTCATTGCGGAGGGAAGGATATGTATACAATGCATTATGAAGCAGAGACAAAAAATGTTTGGGAAGGTATTTTGTGATGTTTGTAGGAAGAACATATCTGCAAATACAGTATGTTTTTGAAGGTTTGGTTTCGTTTGAGCTGTATTTAAATGAAATGCCGAATGCTGGATGCAATTGTTTTCAAGATGCCATTATTTATTATTACTGCTATTATATTGTTTGCCAGATTGATTGATACCAGATACCTTGAAAATGAACAGGAAGGAAATGGGGGTTTGAGCAGGAAAACCCTGGAATGCTGCCTGCTGGAAGTGCTCTTGGCATTCTCAAAGTTACAGGAATAGGGAAAATTAGCCATTATGTAAAGGGGATCGATTAACATTCAGTGCACATGAACTCAGGACTCAAGTTGTCTTAGGAATGTGGGGAGCGTGCCCAGCAGTTTCACAGATGTATGCATGGTTCACTACAGCACAGTGTGCCTGAGTGCTGCCAGGAGAGAGAAGTGTAAGAGAGGGCTGCATGTCCATTAAGAGATTTCCCCTCTGCCCCCAAGATGAAAGGCTTTAAAATACTCATCATCGAGATTGCATGTGAAAATATACATGTATTTAAATAATACATGATAGCAGAAAAACGTTTAAAGTGTAAAAAGAAATCAAACATACTGCATTAATGAGCAGCCTATTATTTCTGTTTAAGCGAATAATACACTAGAATACAGCAAAACATACCTCTAGCTTCATTTTATGGAAAGGGACACATTCTGCACTTTAGTTTATGGCAGGCTATCTTTTTTCCTTAGCTCTGCATTGGAATGAAACGGCAGGAGGAATAGCAGGAGCACTGGCAGATAAAGAGAATACATTTCTACAGAGTAACAGCAGTAGCAGTAAGAATAACAACCAGAGCAATGAAATCCAGAAAGAAATCACACTGCCTTCAAGACTGGTCTATTATATCAACAGAGACTCTGAAAGCCCTTATCATATCCTGGACACTAGGGCAAGACACCAGCAGAAACACAACAAGGTAGGGCCAAAAGAGACTTGATGTACAGTAGCTTAAAAGTAATAGTATCTGCTGTGGAACTGTATTACTGCTATTTTAGAGTATTTATTTAGCAGGACACCAAGACTTCAGAGGTCATTGCACCACTTTTAGAAGTGAGAGAAAAAAACCACACTTCCACTTTTAAAAAAAAAAAATTGTGGAAATTTAAAGACAGGCCTGAATTGAAATTCTAGATCCAAATCACTTATCCTGGCATTTCAGGGAAGTTGTGGAATTGGATCAGAATTCAGCAATTTTTTGGCCTATAATCCCAATATAGATCACATTGGTTTGACTTACTCTGAATTGTGATACTGTAAGCAGCAAAATACTCTTTAAAATTGTGCTAGACTATTCAAGTGTTTGTGGCCCTTGCCTTGTTTTTAAACATGAGACCATTTAACTCAAAGTGTTGCTAAATGAACTAAATTCTGGTTTCCTGCTAATGCATGCACAGTAGCAATAATTATAAAAGTTGCCAGTTTTCAAAATCTTTAGTCAGAAACTGAACACTTTTATAATTAAAAACTGGAAAAAAAATGTTACTTTAATATTTACCTTGTGCTGATACAGATTTATAAGTTTGAGCTGGTCAGTAGAAATGTGCCTGAATTGATCTGTGATTTAGGAATATGATATTGGTTTTGTGTAATGATCAGGTCTAGAAGTAAATATACTTCAAAATATCTCTTTCAAGCCATTTTATATTACTTGAAAAATGCTTTTCCATTGAAAAAGGATGAAGGAATTTTACTCCTGCCCATGGATTCTGCATTAAAAAGATAACATTTTGGAAGGTGAAGAGGATTTGTGCAAGAAGAGATCAATGTCTCTGTTCTTATCATGAAAAGTTGGATCCGTGTATAGAATACTGCTGTTAGACTCTGATGCATTAGTGTTCCTATTGAATTACATTAGGTTTCTACTAAGTTCAAACAAATTCACTATGCTTGATGTTATTTAAATAAATGACTATGAATTTGTTAATATTTTGACATGTATTGTGTAACATTTTATAGCTGGAGGTAATTTTGAGCTAATTATAAGTAATATCATTTGGGCCTCCTCATTTAAAATTATTCTGAGTCTCTAATTATGGTTTAATGAGGAGGGAGGTGCTTACTAGGTAATTCAGCACAGAAATTCAAGATACTGGCAGGTGTTGATGGATACTCATAGGATTTCTAGCAATATTCTAGGGTACTATAGAAAAGTGAGTCCATTGCTGGAATTCTGTTTAGTTAGCCTCATTTTCCTACTATGCTACTTGCAGAAATGACATCACAGTATCTCACAGGACTGAAATGTCATTCTCCAAAGTGTGGACTCATGGGGTTGTGGTGTACGAGTGTGTGTGTGGGGAGGGGGGGGGGGAGAAGGTTAGGGAGGGTGGAGGTGGAGGGAGAGGAAGTTTGAAGTATTTCGCAGAATGAGACATGATCGGGAATAATATGGCATGTTTCCCAAAAGGAGTGGTAGCACTAGCACGTACAATAATATTTCATCTACACATTTCTTTGATGCTGGGTTCTGAACAGTTTCCAGAGGTATCTACATCCATCCATTTGTCCAGCTCCTCTTTAAGAAAATTATTATATAAACAACATTTAGTAAAGCTCTTTGTATTGCAATTGTTGCCTGTCTTTGACTTGATTTACTGTTTTTCTAGATTTCTATGGAAATCTGTTTCCTTTGTGTAGTTGCTCATTAGAAATTCTTTATTCTCTCTCCTTAGTATCTTCCAAATTTACTAAGGATGGTCTTGCTCTTTTCTCTTGTGACTTCTTGCAGAAAGGGAAAAGTTAAGGAGGAAAGTCAGGGTGGTGGAGTGTGGGGAATAAAGTGTTTGCAGGCCTGCACAAGGGTTTAGGGATGTATGTCTGGGAATAATGTAGATGATCTGAGATTTGAGAGGAAATTGGGGTACCCACACATCCAGCCGCTCTACCAGTCTCTCCTTGTGTTACTTCTCCATGTATTTTTTATTTTTATTTTATCTTATTTTTTAAAGGAGTTCTGATGCCATTCCCTACCTCCCTGTGCCCTGGTCTCCACCTCAGGTTTATGTAGAACAATGGTTCTCAAACTATGGGTCAGGACTCCAAAGTGGGTTGTGACCCCATTTTAATGAGGTCGCCAGGGCTGGCATTAGACTTGCTGGGGCCTGGGTCAGAAGCTGAAGTCCAAGCCCCACCGCCCCAGGTTGAAGCCAAAGCCTAAGGGCTTCACCCCTGGGCAGCTGGGCTTAGGCTTTGGCTTCAGCTCTAGCTCCGAGTGGTGGGGCTCAGGTTGCAGGCCCCTCACCTGGCGCTAAAGCTCTTGGGCTTTGCCCCTCCACCTTGGGTGGTGGGGTTTGGGTGGGCTCAGGCTTCAGTCCCCCCTTCCTGGGGTCATGTAGTAAGTTTTGTTGTCAGAAGGGGGTCGCGATGCAGTGAAGTTTGAGAATCCCTGGTGTAGAAACTGTTGTTGGAGCAGAACTCTGCAGGAGTTAATGCTGATCTTGTTAGCATTAATTTCAATGGGTATGCTTAGGGCTGAGTACTGTGTAGAGTGGCTCTCATTTCCACTCAGCTGTGCCCCCTTAACCTGACTAGCTCCACTATGCAATATTCTTACCGAGGAGTTTCTGTAAGCTTGAAGGTCAAGCAGAACATGTCTTGTTGGCTCTCTTCCTTGATGGGTTTTTGCCCTTTTGGAGCTGAACTTCCACTGCTTTGATCTCTTTAGCATAGCAAAGGGATTAACTGTGCTTTCACTGGATTCTCCCTTGTGTATTGCATTATGTTTAAATTGCTCATCTGCACTTCCAAAGTACTGACAGTTCCAGCCTAGCTTATATTTTGGACCTTGTCCCATACCTGTCCTCTTCTTTTCATTTACTCCACCCACTCCACCAACAATTCCTCCCTCAACATTTTGTTCGTTTCCTCTTTCCGTGTATATGTATCATGGAGGACAGCGCAAAAATGCACTAAAAATGCATAATCTCCCAATCACAGTTTGCCAAGATACTACCCTTACCACATGAAATGAGTGGGTTTTTTTTATCCTTTCCCAAATATTATAATGACAAATAAGCAAGTTATATGCACCTTTGGATTTCCCACTGCATTCTGTTTTTCATATGTCTGTTTTGTTTTGGAAGGCCTTCTGGTCAGGAGTTGCCTTTTATGAATTATTGTAAAGAGCTGATCACATTGGAAGTGCTAAAAAAATTAATAATTTTCAAAATCACTCAACAAGAGGTTTTTTTTAGGATTGATAATTTAGGTGTAAATTACGAGGGGGCAAACATAACAGCCTTTTAAAAATGTTAGTTAAGAAAATAAATATTTGATATTTTTATGCATTTTAATAAGATGTCTGACCCCAAATCTTGTTTTGTGAGCATTGTTTTATTGCAACTTTTATATGTAATTGGTACTGAAGTGCCTAGAAATGAAGGGCCTAATCCTGTAAGCCCTCCGTGCAGCTGCCATTGAGGCTAATGGGAATGGGAGCTCCCCATATGGTTGGTTGTGAGACTGGGCCTGAATGCCTCCTAAATGCTGAATCACTATGTAAAGCTTATGGATGTATGAGTGTGTATAATGAAAGAGGTGTATATAAGAGGAGAAATAGAGCAATGCAGAAAAGTTTTTAAAATAGCATTTTTTTTCTTTTAAAATCTCTTCCTGATGGTAAAGTGTTTATAAGATGATTATTTTGGAATATATATATGAATTAAAGAGATACTGTCAAGATAAAAATAATGGGTCATATTCTCTTCCCAGTTATATTGGTGTAACCCAGTTGCAATAATTGGGATCACTCTGGTGTAACTAAGAGGAGAATTTGGTCCAGTATATTTTTAAAGTCCTTACTGGTAACACTTGTGACAGTACTGATTATTTAAAAACTCCTTCTGCTGTTTTGATTTGTCTAGTCATTTTTCATTTTCTGGTTCTTTTCTGTAGTGCTTGGGTTGCGAATGCTCCTGGGGAATGTCTAACAAAAAAGAAATCTATAAAAACTGAAATTCAGAGTATTTTCATTAAAACGTTTCCTATAGATATTAGATTGTGGGGACTTAAATTATCTTTGGGGTCTATATCATTTGTCAACATCCATTTGTATGAAAAACTGTGTTTCATAAACACAAATGTCTTATGAACAGCAAAATATACTACAGTATACTAAACATTTATGAATAGATGATTACATAAAACATAGTGAGGGATTGAGTAGATCATGAAGATTAGTAATGGGATATAGTACAGAGCTTTTAATCTTTGTCTTCAGTACAAATAAGACCTAGGACATTGGTGACTGCACAGGTGTCAGAAGGTAATGACAGTTGTTTTATATATAATGAGCTGGTGGCTTCTTTTCATTCTTGTATTTTTGTGTGGTGGATGCATGACCACTGTTATCGTGTCATCTATGTTATCACTGTAATTTAGTCCCTGCCCCAAAGAGTTTACGATCCATCTTAAATTTTTTTATAGTAAATACACAATCAAGACCTGATCCTGCCTGGGGCCTTTACTTGCTACTGTAATACAAGTAATTAAACAGACAAACAAAAGAATCAACCTGATACATCAAGTCATGACTGAGGCACAGCCACAGTGCAGTGAGTGGACTCGCACTGTGTGTGCTGTACATGTTCTGTGGCTAGAGGACTTCAGTCTCCACTGCTGCAAGCCTGGTCGTGTACAGAAGTGGCCATTTAAAAATATTTTTAAAAATTGAAAACTTACCACACTGAATTTTTTTTTTTTAAAGGTAGCCTTTAGCAGATCTGATTGTCTTCTCAGGTACACAAACTGTTTGTGTATCTTTTAAATCTGTTTGCCATCTATTCTATATGCATGCACAAGCATCTTACGCTAGTTAGGCTTTGTATCCCCCAGTGATCTTCCTGTTTATCATCTGTTCATTGAAAGGCCACCATAATTAGGTCTAAATAGTCCAAATTATCAGTAAGGCCTCCCAAT